ACAAGGTGTCCCATGGGAGGTATTGCCAGCTGGGCTGAGCCCCCCTCCCACCCCCGTCTGTCATTGAGCTATACTGACACTTCACATTACAGGGTAAGGGGGGGTCTCCTCTGCCACGGGGCTGGGTCTTAGGAAATGGGGCTGGGGGACAGGAAAAGGCCAGCCAGGGTAATAGGTATTGTGGTCTCCTCTCTCAGGGGCCACAGAGAAGCCATACCTGGTGGAAGAGGCTGTTTCTTACAATGAACTTGACTATGTGTCGGTGAGTGCAGGCTCTGCAGTTGGTGTACCTGCCTGGGTGTGCGGCTTCTCAGGCCACCCACACTTAGAGTTGCAGAACAAGGTCCCTCCTGGGTATGGGTGCCAACATCCACAGAGGCCTCTGTACACATGCTGAGACACAAGAGTCAAGTGCGAAGATGCCTCTTCCTGCACCAGATCCTTGACCATCTTCCCGAATTCATGCCAGGCCCCAGATCTTGGTCAGGGGCCTTCCTAGTCGTGACCCCAGACGTATGGTTTCTCCCTTCCCAATCCGAGCCAACCCTCACTGTGACCGCACTGCCCCTTATGCTGGGCAGTGGCCAAGCCCTGTGTGGTTTCTGGCAGGTTGGCCTGGACCAACAGACGGTGAAGCTAGTGTGTGCTGATCGCAGGAAGCAGTTTTTGCTGGACACAGCTGATGTGGCCCTGGCTGAGTGAGTGTCACCCCCCCACACACCCCTCAACAAGACAGGAGAAGCAACATCTGCCTTGGGCATGGCCCTGGCCAGGGGTAGAAGCAGACAGTCATCTGTTCCCCCAAGAGCCTGTGCTCTGCTCAGAGAGGCAGGGAAGTGGACAGTCACTGACTAACTCACCTCAGCCCCTCAGGACCTGTGGAGAGGAAAGGGGCTGGTGTGAGGTCCAATGAGAGGGGAGACACCAGAGCCAGACTGCTGCCTTGAACTATGGACATGAGACTTACACAGGATGAGGTCCTATCTGCACTGATTAGAATGGTCAAGTCCTACTGGCCAGCACTTTGTCTAGTGTCCCTTTACGTTCAGAATTCCAGGCCCCTTGGACACTAGGAATGGTCAGGCCTTTTCTGGGTACCATCCAGGGATGCAGGGCTCTGACCTCATCGTCTTCCACTGCCGCCCCGATTCTAGCATCCTCAGCCCCTGGTTTCTGTTAGCTCTGAGCCAGGAGTTCTCAGGACAGAGCCCTGTCCCCCCAGACCTGTCCCCAGGCCTCTGACAGCAAACCGCACTCCTCGCACAGGCTCTTCTTGGCGTCTCTGAAGTCAGCTATGATCAAAGGCTGCCGGGAACCACCCTACCCTAGCATCTTGACTGATGCCACCATGGAGAAGTTGGCACTAGCCAAATTTGTCGCCCAGGAATCCAAATGTGAGGTCAGTGTCTGGGGAGGGAACTCCAGTGGCACACCAACATTAGCTTGCCTTGGATTAAGGCTAAAAGATACAAATGGTGCCTTTAGCATTTCTCAGTCACCTTGTGGGAAGGGCTTTGCTCCTGGGCGTACCCTCTTGCCGACTTGGCTATGTCCTGAGGTTACCTTGTTATCACTGTTCCTAGGGCTGGGCCATGGGTAAGCTGAGGCTCTGCCAAGCTGAGGCTCTGCCTTATTTGCTTTGTCTATTGCCTGAACCTGCAGGCATCCACAGTGAGTGTGCATTTCTATGGGCTTGTGCACTGGGAAGACCCCATGGACAAGACCCTGGGCCCTGTGTCCTGCAACTGCTCACCCCCTGAGGGCACCATCACCAAAGAAGGCATGCTGCACTACAAGGCTGGCACCTCGTATCTGGGCAAGGAACACTGGAAGCCCTGCTTCGTGGTGCTCAGGTGGGAACCCAGCAGTGGTGGGCCCAGGGGATGGCTCAGGCCCCTAGCAGGAGAGGCCCAAGGGCAGATGCCTCCCTTCTCCACAGTGCTGTGGGGTCAGCTTTTCTGTGCCCCCAGTTTTCGGGGCACAGGATTCCCAGTGTGACAGACCTTCAGCTGTACCCAGGAAGGGATAGTGTTCTCTCCAACCACTCTCAGATTCCTTTCTTTGGGATGGTGGGGGGGGGGCTCGAGACAGAGTTTCTCTATAGCTTTGGAGGCTGTCCTGGAACTCAACTCTGTAGACCAGGCTGGCCTCGAACTCACAGAGATCCACCTGCCTCTGCCTCCCGAGTGCTGGGATTAAAGGCATGTGTCACCAACGCCCAGCTCTCTCAGATTCCTTTCCTATCCCCTCCGTAGAAAGCAGGTCCCTGGTTCCCACCCAGTTTATGAGGGACCCCTGGGATCCTCTTAGCCATGCCTCACCTCACTGTGTTGTGACCCTGCAGCAACGGAATCCTCTACCAGTATCCTGATCGCACTGATGTCATCCCCCTGCTCTCGGTGAACATGGGGTAAGTGTCTCAGGAAGAGGGTAGTGGGGAGGTGTCAGGGCTAGTTGTCCTGCCTGGAGGTCAGCTCTGGCTGAGTCTGAGGCCGGGAGCTTGCTGTCCTTCTGTCCCTCACCTCACCTTATCCAGCAACCCCCAATTAGTGTCTTGTGGTTTGCAAGCTGTAAGGAGCCATGGAGGCAGAATGAATGGGAAGGCACCCTTTGTCTAGAGAAGGGAGCCCCTTCCCAGAAAGTCCCCATGCAGTGAGAGGCAAACTGTCAGGAAGTAGATGAGTGGACACTGGTTCTGAGCAAGCGCGGTGTGTGCTTTGCACCCTCTGTTTGGGTACCCAGGGGATTTTAGCCGTTCTGGAGATACAGGTTCTTATGCACACTTCTAACCCAGTGTGGAAGGTAGAGGCAGGAAGATCAGAAGTTCCAGGTCATCCTCTGCTACATAACAAGTTCCAGGCCAGCCTGAGCTACATGAGACCCTGTGTCAAAAGAAATGAAACAAAAAAAAAGATTATACAGAAATGGTGGGGTTGCCAAGCGTATGTAAACATCCCTAGAGCCAGAGCCTGAGGCCTGGTGTCTGCACACCTCAGCCACTCCAGCCTCCTCACTCCCATTTCACCCTCCTCTGGCTCAGGGGGGAGCAGTGCGGTGGCTGCCGGAGATCCAACACCACAGATCGGCCCCACGCCTTCCAGGTCATTCTGGCTGACCGGCCCTGCCTGGAACTAAGTGCTAACAGCGAGGCCGAGATGGCTGAGTGGATGCAGCATCTCTGCCAGGCAGTGTCCAAAGGAGTAAGTGTCCCTGCCTCCACCATCTGTCCAGCCTGGCCCATCCATGATCTCTAGGGTCCTACCCCCAAACACACCGGTCACAGAGAAAGAAGCCTGGGAGGGCCAAGATGGTAGACCCTAGAGGACAGTCCAAAAATGAACACAAGCTCAGAGCACTTTATAGCCTGGACCATTCCCCTCTCCCCTCCCTACACTGCTAAGATAGACAGAGTCTAACGTGATTCCTGGTGCAGGCCATCCTAGAGAAACAGCTTACCTCTCCCACCTTCTGCCAATGTCCAGGTCATACCCCAGGGGGTGGCTCCCAGCCCCTGTATCCCTTGCTGCCTGGTAATCACGGGGGACCGCCTCTTCACATGCCACGAGGATTGCCAAACCAGCTTCTTTCGATCCCTGGGCATGGCCAGGCTGGCTGACATCAGTGCAATCTCCACAGAACTGGGCAAGGAGTACTGTGTCCTGGTAAGCTGGGTGGGGATGAGGGCACAGGGCCGCCCAAGGAAATCCATGCATACTCACCCAGGGCCTGCCATTCCTAGGAGTTCTCCCAGGATAGCCCACAGCTGCTCCAACCTTGGGTCATCTATCTGAGCTGCACTTCAGAACTGGACAGGTTCCTGACTGCCCTGAGCTCTGGGTGGAAAGCCATCTACCAGGTATCTAACCGTTCTTGGCCTGGCCTCACCTGTAGGGTTCTGAGGGCAGCAACTTGCAAACAACACTGAGACAGACACAGAAACTTGGGGCCAGAGGGGCAAGTCCCAACATCAGCTAGTCTGTCAAAGCTAAATATGACACCAGGAGCTATAGAGCTCATGGTGGGCCTGGTGAGACACAGGACAGGACCTCCTCTTTCCCAGAGCCCTGGAAAGGTAGTAGCTTTTATTTTTCATTTTGATGTTGGGTTTTTGTTGTTGTTGTTGTTAAGACAGGCCTTATTATGCAACTCTGGCTCGTGGGATTAAAGGCATATGCTGCCACTGCACCCAGAGAGAGGTATCATTTTGCGAATGTGCTCCCTGTCCCTGTGGTTCTGGGGGAGCTCTAAACTGAGCCTGAGGTGGAGCACAGTCAAGGACAGAAACATGCCCAATGAATTGCAGGTAGACCTGAGACGTTGGGGGTCTGTGTGCAGAGCAGGAGGGAAACTTGTAACATGGACGATGTTCCCAAAGGCCCCGGGGTTTCCATGGCTCCTAGGAAAGCAGCCTGCAGCCTCTCTGCTCCCTCTCGTCTACCACAGGTTGACCTCCCTCACAAGGCGATTCATGAAGCCTCCATCAAGCAGAAATTCGAAGATGCTCTGAGCCTCATCCACAGTGCCTGGCAGCGGAGCGACAGTCTCTGCCGAGGCAGAGCCTCCCGGGACCCCTGGTGCTGAGGCGTGGCTGAGCAGCACTGCAGGCAGGCAGGCAGGAAGGAGGCAGGCTGACCAGTGTGTACACTGTGCTGTGCCACCATGCTGTTTCGGAGCCAGGTGTCCACAGGCCTCTACAGCCCACTCCTGCCTTGAGGTGGCAGAACCACTAGCGTGATCCAGGGATCCAGAGTGAGTGACTAGAGGTCACTGAGGCAGAAGGTCTGAGCCCTGTGGGCTCTGTAGACATATGGTATTCCCTGGGCCACCACCTTAGTTCTCACCATCTGTTCAGGGTGGCCATGAGAATAATAGCATCCATTTAAAGGGGAGTAAAGAGACCAGTAGGGTGGGTGTACCATCTTCCTTTCCTGGGCCAGGGTCCTGGGCAGATGGTCAGGTCCCCCGGGGGTCGTGAGTGCCCAGCCACCCTTGTTCATTTTCGAACACTGTTCCCACTGCACAGGAAAACGGGAACACTGGGTATCTGTGCATGTCTCCTACTCACGCATCCACCCAGTGCACAGCAAGCGGCCTGCCTCACATAGCAGTCCTCTGTGGCTGCTAGGAGGCCCTGCATGTCCACAGCCCTGCCTCTCCTCTCCCTCAAATACAGCAGAGCTTGTAGGAGCCAGGGATCAGTTGGCTCCTTGCCAGGAGCAAAGGAGAAGAATGGAGAACAGAGCCCATGAGCCTGGTGGCTACTTTGACACCTGACTGACCCAGGCTTGGCTGGAGCTGGCCCTTCCTGAAGTCTCTGTTAGGTCCTTCGGGGGATGGGGCAGATGGATTGGGCTTTGTTTTTTAAAATAAAATTGACATTATATTGCTGAGACTTGTCAGTGGTCCTCTCTTTAAGCGTGAGATGGGTCGGGGAGGGCTCCCCCACTGCAACATCTTCACTGTCCACTCTGTGCCCAACACACCCGACATAGACTCAGAACCAGCTCTGCCCCTGCTGCTTCCATGGCTCCACTGCCTGGAGGATGAAGGCCAGGAGTCCCTGGGCCTTCCTGTTTCCTGCTTGGCCACCAAGAGTGGGAACCTGGTTGGCCAGTTGTTAAGGAAAATGCCTTACCCGAAAAGGTCTTCAGAGTGGTCCCTGTCTTTCCATTCCATCTCACCCAGGGGCTCTGTGGTTCTGGGTGAGCAAGACTGAGGCACTAGAAGTTGGGTGATGGGGGACGTCCTTCTGTACATATGTTTCTCTTATTGATTGATGAATAACCAGTAGAGGCATGAAGATAGGCGGGGCTAGGAGACATGGAGAATTATGGGAAAGGTAGGCAGAGAGAGACGGCGAGAGATGCCACGTAGCTATGGAGAAGATAGGATGCTCTGGCGTTCTCTGGTAAGATAAGACCACGTGGAAATACTTAGATTAATGGAAATGGGTTACAGAGCTAGCTAATGAGAAGGCCTAGCCCTTGGCCAACAGTTTAATAATATAAGTCTTTTTGTACTTTTTGGGGGGCTGAAGCAGTGGGACCTGGGGGGACAAGAAAACTTTCATCAACAGTTGGGAACTGAAGAGGGGCATGGACCACCTTTCCTGTGTGAAGCGCTGTTCAAATCAGGCCTTTTTTATTTAACAGTGGTCCCCAAAGTTGTCCTCTGACGTCTGTACACATCTATGTCCTGTGTGCATCCCCTTACACACACACCCACACACACATGCACACAAGCAGGATAGCCTAAGCTATGTAGTGAGGCCCGGTCTAAAACATACATACATACGTACATATATTTGTGCATATATAGACATGAATGGGGTTTGTTGGGCATGGTGTCACACACCTTTAACCCCAACACTCAGGAGGCAGAGGTAGGTGGGTCTCTGTGAGTCCCTGGCCAGCCTGGTCTACAGAGTGTGTTCCAGGACAACCAGAGCTACACAGAGAAACCCTTTCTGAGAAAGAAAGAGAGGGAGGGAGGGAGGGAGGGAAAGAAAGAAAGAAAGGAAAGAAAGAAAGAAAGAAAGAAAGAAAGAAAGAAAGAAAGAAAGAAAGAAAGAAAGAAAGAGGGGCTGGAGAGATGGCTCAGTGGTTAAGAGCACTGACTTCTCTTTCAGAGGTCCTGAGTTCAATTCCCAGCAACCACATGGTGGCTCACAACCATCCGTTATGAAATCTGGTGCCCTCTTCTGGTGTGCAGATATACATGGAAGCAGAATGTTTTATACATAATAAATAAATAAAATCTTTAAAAAAAAAAAAGAAAGATTAATGGGGTTGGAGAAATCGTTTAGTGGTTAGAGCTCTTCCAGAGGACCTGGGTTCCATTCCCAGCACCCACTCACATGGTAGCTCACAATCATGTATAACTCCAGTTTCAGAGGATACAACACCCTCTCTGGCTTACGTGGACACCAGACACACATACACGCAGGCAAAACACTCATATATGTAAAAATATACTAAATGAAAGAAGGCATGGACATGCATGCTTGCACTGTCAGCACGTGGGGGTGGTAGAGGCAGGTGGAGAGCGGCATGAGTTTGAAGGCGGCCTGGGTTGTACACTGAGTCCTGGCCAGTGTGGGAATGAGACCCTGCCTCACGTGAAACAAAACCTCACAATTAGGGCTCTGGGGTCCGTTACATTCCCTCTTGTTGAAAAGGAACTATAAAAGCCAGGCGGCAATGGCATATACCTTTAATCCCAGCGCTTGGGCATGGTGTCACACCCAAGTGCTGGGCACACCCAAGGCAGAGGCAGGCAGATCTCTGTGAATGTGAAGCAAGTTCCAGGACAGCCAGGGCTCCACACAGAAATCTTGTCTTGGGTGGGGGGGAAGAACTAAAAAGCTGGGCATGGTGGTGAACACCTTTAATTCCAGCAGTAGGAGACAGAGGCAGGTGGAACTCTGTGACTTTGAGGCTACTCTGCTCTACATAGCTAGTTTCAGGCAAGCAAAGGTTACATAGAGAGATCTTGTCTCAAAAAAGGGGGGGGGGCTATAGAGATGGCTCAGAGATTAAGAGAACTGGCTGCTCTTCCAGAGGTCCTGAGTTCAATTCCCAGCAACCACATGGTGGCTCACAACCATCTATAATGAGATCTAGTGCCCTCTGCTGGTGTGCAGATATGCATGGAGGCAGAATGTTGTATACACAATAAATAAATAAAATCTTAAAAAAAATAGTTAAAAAAAAAAAACCAACAAAACTTGCTGGAGAGATGGTCAGAGGTTAAGAGTACTGGCTGTTCTTCCAGAGGTCCTGAGTTCAATTCCCAGCAACCACATGGTGGCTCACAACCATCTATAATGAGATCTGGTGCCCTCTTCTGGTGTGCAGATATACATGGAGGCAGAATGTTGTATACACAATAAATAAATAAAATCTTAAAAAAAATAGTTAAAAAAAAAAACCAACAAAACTTGCTGGAGAGATGGTCAGAGATTAAGAGAACTGGCTGTTCTTCCAGAGGTCCTGAGTTCAATTCCCAGCAACCACATGGTGGTTCACAACCATCTGTTATGAGATCTGGTGCCCTCTGCTGGTGTGCAGATATACATGGAAGCAGAATGTTATAGACATAATAAATAAAATCTTAAAAAAAAAAAAACAATAGAAACTTAAAGGGGGGGCGCTGGAGAGATGGCTCAGAGGTTAAGAGCACTTCTAGAGGTCCCTAAAAAAAACAATAGAAACTTAAAGAGGGGGCGCTGGAGAGATGGCTCAGAGGTTAAGAGCACTTCTAGAGGTCCTGAGTTCCAATTCCCAGCAACCACATGGCAGCTCATAACCATCTGTAATGAGATCTGGTGCCCTCTTCTCACGTGCAGCCAGAACACTGAATACATAATAAATAAGTAAATACATAAATAAAAAGAAGGAAAAAGGGACGCTGTAATGAGGGAACCACATTGGAAGACTGAGACCAGGAAAGAGGAAGTCACACAGGCTGTGGCAGATGTAGAAACGGGACAGTTGCTCATCAGTCCATTTAGCCCATGTCTAGGGCCAAGTCACCACATGCCCAGGGCTTTAGCTGAAGCCAGACAGGGACTAGAGATGGAACAGGAAGTCTAGAGGACAAGGAGGAGTGCCCTCCTCTAGTTTGGCTTTCTTCCTGCTCCATTCTCCTTCCAGTCCCAAGTGACCTTTACTCCAGATCCCAGGGTCCAGGTCCGCCTGGCCAGCAGCAGCTGGGATTGGTTGGAGCCAGAAGAGGTGTGTCCAGACTCCCACAGGCCCAGTCTGCTGAACAGCAGGTGGAGTTCCAACAGAGACCAGGGGCCTCCAGTCACTGACAAGATCTGTCCTCTAGACATGGCACTGGCCCTCCTTAGTCCCCAGCCCTGTGGCTACACACAGGTGCAGACAGCCTAGACACGGGAACCTCTAGCCTGTGCCGTGGCCCTGACCCAGGTGCAGATGGCCCCTACCATGGATGCAGAGGATATGGTGTCCCCTGCTGTGGACCTGGTGCTGGGTGCCTCAGCCTGCTGCCTGGCCTGCGTATTCACCAATCCCCTAGAAGTGGTGAAGACTCGGTTACAGCTGCAGGGGGAACTGCAGGCCCCAGGCACCTACCCACGGCCCTACCGGGGCTTTGTGTCTTCCGTTGCAGCCGTCGCCCGGGCAGATGGGCTGTGGGGCCTGCAGAAGGGGCTGGCCGCTGGCCTTCTCTACCAGGGCCTCATGAACAGTGTCCGTTTCTACTGCTATAGCCTGGCATGCCAGGCTGGCCTCACTCAGCAACCAGGTGGTACCGTGGTCGCAGGCGCTGTGGCTGGGGCATTGGGAGCCTTTGTGGGAAGTCCTGCTTACCTGGTGAGTGTCCTTCCTCCTTTACCACTCTGTGACCAGGAGACTCTGGATTGGGTGGGGCACGTTGGGAGGGGACTTTTCCCGGGGAATATCCGGCTCAGATCTGGAATCTGCCCCTCCCTCTGACCCTTGCTCTTTTGGGGTCCATGCCCACTGGTTTTAGCCGGGAGAGGGAACGGGTTATGAAGTAGGTAGACCCCAGTTGTCATTTGCCTGGATAGCCCGGAATATGGTAGAGCTAAATGCTGCAGCTGAGCACGAGCTGCTGTGTCCTGGTCTGGACCTTGAAGTACAATGTCCTTGAGAGTGGCAAGACAGAGGCCCAAAGACCTACTTAAGAAAGGCAGAGGGAGGCAGAGGCAGGCGAATCTCTGTGAATTCGAGGACAGCCTGGTCTACAGAGCAAGTGCCAGGATAGCCTCCAAAGCTAAAGAAACCCTGTCTCAAAAAAGAACCAAAATAAATAAAGTGCCAGGACAGCCTCCAAAGCTAAAGAAACCCTGTCTCAAAAAAGAACCAAAATAAATAAATAAGTGAACTCAAGCCAACTGAGACTGTCCCCAAGCTTCAGATGTTGTCAGGGATCCCATACAGGAGAGGGGCTCAAATGTGCCCAGCCATTTTCTCAGCCTCTATCCTAAAGCCCCCATCTGCTCTGTACTCCCAGGTCAAGACCCAGCTCCAGGCCCAGACAGTGGCTGCTTTGGCGGTGGGACATCAGCACCAGCATCAGGTAAAACATCTTCTCCAGAGCCCAGGGGGCCCCAGGCTGTGCAGGGACTGCGACTGTCTAGTGACCCACGCCCTCTCTTCCCTGCAGAGTGTCCTGGGTGCCTTGGAGACCATCTGGCGCCAGCAGGGCCTGCTGGGGCTGTGGCGGGGTGTGGGTGGGGCTGTGCCCCGAGTCACAGTGGGCTCAGCTGCCCAGCTGGCCACCTTTGCCTCTGCTAAGGCTTGGGTACAGGAGCGACAGGTAAGGGGCTGGGGACACCTGCCCAGGCAGGGAATGGGAGGGTCCGTGTCTCTCTCACACAGGGGTGGTGACAAGTGGGGTCCAGAACATAAACCTGATCTTGCTGAACATGGTGAGATGCACCTATGTTCCTAACACTTGGGATGTTGAGGCAGGGGGATCAAGAAGCTTAAGTTGGTTCAAAGTCAGCCTAGGCTACCTACATGAGACCCTGTCAAAAGAGAAGAGAGAAAGATGGGGGAAGGGGGGAAGGAGAGGAGTGAGGGACAGAAGGCAGAGAGGAGTCATGAGAGGAAGGGGGGGTTGCAGCTAAGGATAATGTTTCTCACCTGTAATCTCAGCACTTTGGTGGAGGCAGGAGGATTTCAAGTTGAAGGACAGCCTGCTGTATATAGCAAGACCTGTCTCAACAAGAGAGAGAAAAGAGAGAGGATAGAGAAAGAATGGGAAGGGAGGAAGAAAATAAGTTGTTGGCTCTGTCACTATAGCTGTGACCTAGCCCTTCTGTCCACCAGGAATCGGGTGTCATCACTGAACCCTGGAACCATGGAGGAACACAGGGTTGGTGTTGGGGACTGGGAATGTCTGGAGAGATCTGATTTGCTCTCCCTATCCCAGCCCTTGTGAGCTTGGGGCAAGGAGAGTACACCTGGGGCAGTGGGCAGGGTCAACAGCCTGAGCCATCCCCACAGTGGTTTTTGGAGGACAGCTGGCTGGTGACCCTGACTGGAGGCATGATCAGCAGTATAGCTGTGGCTGCAGTTATGACTCCCTTCGACGTGGTCAGCACTCGGCTATACAATCAACCGGTGGACAGAGCTGGCAGGGTAAGCTGGGGACGGGGATGTAGGATATGGGGACACACACACACACACCAGAGAACATGCACCATTAATACATTAACACGCATGTCCTAGGCCCTTTGACTAGATTTTATTCTGTTTCCCGATGAGGAAATCGCCTCAGAGAGATCAAATGACCTGGTTGAGGCCGCCCAGCTGATCAGTGGTAGGGGCAGGATTGCAATCACGGCCTCCTGTGGTAATGCCAACAGGAAGTGCCAGGACAAAGACGCCTGAGTGCCACTATCCAAGCTGCACCCCTGTAGGAGGCTATCTGCCTATCTGCCTAAAGGAAGAGGCTCCTTGTTTTCTATAATCCTCGTAGGCCTGGTGGGGCTAGGTGCTCCTAGAACACTTTCTTGTTGACACCTGGACCTCTCAACTCTCAGGTGACACTCACCCCATGTTTATCTCCAGGGACAGCTGTACGGGGGCCTGGCTGACTGCCTGGTAAAAATCTGCCCTGGGCCTGGCAGGGCTAGGTGCTCCTAGAACACTTTCTTGTTGACACCTGGGACCTCTCAACTCTCAGGTGACACTCACCCCATTTTTATCCCCAGGGACAGCTGTACGGGGGCCTGGCTGACTGCCTGGTAAAAATCTGCCAACAGGAGGGACCCCTCGCACTCTACAAGGGCCTAGGCCTCGCCTATCTTCGCTTGGGTCCCCACACCATCCTCAGCATGTTCTTCTGGGATGAGCTGCGGAAGCTGGCTGCAAGGGCCCAACGCTGACCAGGGCCATCTAGCCTTGTCCCTCATCCCACCACCAAGCCTGGCATTTGGTGGAAGTGATGGCCTGCTACAGGTCGGCAGGGAGTGAGCCGGGAACTGTAGACAACCGCCTCTCCGCCCCCTTCCTCTCCTCTAGGCT